GGATGGAGGGACCTGGGTGAAGGACACCTTACCTCCCAAGGCATGGATAAGCATATTAGAACGCAAAATGGGCAATTTTCTCCCATTACCCAACTGAATGACGTGCTGGAGTGGGTGGGAGTTCGCCATTTGAGGGATGCATCTCAGGAAGGGGACCCGTTGAGTTCCCCTCCCCCTCCCCCCCTCCTTTCCCCAAACTACGCCTCTGATCGTGAATATTGTGGTAGGGGAAGGGAAGCGGGAACTTGAGGCAGTTAATTATTCAGGAACCTACAGGCAATTCTCGGACATAAACGGGCTCGGCAGGTCTCAGTTTTCTTTACAAAATCCATACTTCCTGCATTTACAGGACGAAGCATGCTGGTCTCCTTTCTCTTTCACTACGCTTTGCTTCGTTGCGAAATCGCCGTATGCATGTATCAGCGCATAAGTATACGATGCAATTAATTAAATATTTGTAAGTCTGCATACATCAGGATATTCTTGTATGAAAAATATTCCATTGTAAATGCTGGAGAGAGACATCGATGCGGACAGGACATGCCAAGGATGTCCGATGTCAAGAATGTCCGATGTCAAGAATGTCCGATGTCAAGAATGTCCGATGTCAAGGATGTCCGATGCCAGGGATGTCCGAGCTGTCCTTGACAGGGGACAGCAGGTGATCGATACTAGGCGTTTCACAAGAAAAGGATCTTCTCCCTCGGCTATTGAGGTTCTTCTAAGAGCAGAAGTGAACACAAAATCCAAGCTTTTAATACAAGCACAATTGACAAAACGACAGGATCAAGCCTCGACAGGACTTATCATGCCATCTTCACTCGGCGAGTCGCGTCCACGGCTTCGACTCCAGCCTTCCAATTACTCCTTCCAGACCGAATTAAACCACTCTTTAATGATCCTCTCGTTCGATTTGGCTTGCAGCGACTTCTGGCCCCCTTCGTTTTCACGACACCTCATGTCGATGAAGTCCTCTAAGTACCGAGTACTCGGATAAGATTTCTACGATCGCGACCTTGCCCCTATCGATATCGATTTCGAGAATTTCCAGACGAGATGTCTTCCTGTCACGGCCCACGCAGCGCAAGCCAGTTTGATTTTTTCTCAGATCAAGGCCACGGGATGGGAAGTTTCATGCGGAAAATCATCGCCGTCATCGGATCATATCAAGGTCAATCAAGGTCTTTCTCTTCCTCCTCGGGGAGTCCACGATCAGAGCTTCAAGTTTCAATTTCCCTGAGTTCAAAATGCAAGCTATCCATCTCGTGATTTGTTTACAATTTTTTTTGCGTGCAACATCAAGATAAGATCAAAGTTGGAAATTGTCAGTCTTTGAAAATTTGAAAAGTGATTAATTTTCAGAAATTCTTTTCCAAGCAATATTATTTTATTTATTGAAATTGAAGTATGTATTTGCAAGATAAATCATGGGAAGTGCCTCGTCGCTGAGAAATTTCGAGAAAGATTCGACGGAAAATATGGATTTCGTTGCTATCAGAAGCTAATAGATTTCATTAAATTTTTACAATAAATATTATAGAAAATTAAATTGAATTAAGTTATTTAAAAAAAAAGTCTTTAGGAAGCATGTAGTTGAATTCACGAAATCAAATTGAATATTTATCCCAGGCCTGAAATAATATTTGATCGTGAAAGTGTTTATGCAATTTAAAACATTTTAAAATTTTAAATTTTAATAATACATATATATTAATTTCTGCGACTCCGCCTCGTTCTCGAAGGCCATCGAGGATCGTCTGCCTGACGACGAGGACCGGACGACTCTGGACGGGCTTTCAGGATTTCCGCGAGGCGAGAAGGCAAGGATTCCTCGAAACAGATCGGCGATCGGTCGCCTGGAACAACGCATCGAGAAATATATATATATTTATATTATAGTATATTTCGCCATTCCAACACGGGGAGTCCATTCCGACACGCTAGATCACGTCTTCCTTCGTGTAAACTTACTTCTGGGTCTCCCTTTGTCGTACTCGTACGCCAAACACATCCGTGAAATATTCACCTTCTCCTGATTGAGGCTTATCGATTCCCGTCCGATGGCATTCGAATGAGACACCGTTTCGATTTTGAACAGTAACTACTTTTTGAAGCCACTATTATTAATTTGAGAGGAATGATAATGTGGTGCGTCGCTTTCGCTCACGTCATTCCCTCAGCAGACGTCTTTTTTTTTTACCAGGGTGTCACGATGGTGTCACGGTGGTGTTACGGTGGTGTCACGGTGGTGTCGCTTGGGTGGTCGACGTGTCGGCTCGATGTGCGTCGGCGGAGAAATTAAGAAATTAGCATCGTCCGATCGATTCCCCGTATTTAACGGTATCTTTTTCGCCAAGATGAGAAAGGAAAGGTTCCACCACCAAAGGTCACGAAAGCCGTCAAGGTGGGGACGGGATGGAAGGGATAAAGGACATGATCCGTTTTCTTTCTGGTTCCTCGCTCAGTGACTAAACGCGCACCTGCGATCAGGATTTACTCACCGAAAGCCTCTCCTTTCTACGAACTAATGACACCATGAAATAAAGAATGAGGAAAATGAGGAGAGTGGACCCGATCGAGAGCATGCTTGCAGAATTACCAGCCTAAAGTCTCATCAGGTGCAATTAGGTGACTCCAGGGAACCAACTATCCTCGATTTGTTGCAAAAATCTACATTTTGTAATTTGGAAAGAATTTCTCCCAGTATAAAAAAAACCACACTATCTTAGAAAAGAAACAGAACCATGCAGGTATCCAGGCGATACCCGCATCATCATATCTCTCCCTTTCCCTCATCTCTCCCCCCCCCCCCCCCCCCTTCCCCCGGATTTCACCAGGACTTCACTTGACGTGCGGATCAGCTGTCTCTTAACCCGTCAAGCTGGTATCACGGATTTGTCCGTCGTGACGAATGTTCTTGATACGTCAGGCCTGTTTTTTACATTGCAATGTGTCAAGTTCTGCACCGTGTATTTACATATTAAGACCAAAATGAAGGAGTTCGTGTTCCGTGTTTTTTACATAAAACACTATAGTTCCAAATCTAACGCTGCTGTTCATTAATATTCACACGTTGCGGGATTCCATGTTGCTCAGAAAATAACTCGCCCGACGTTCTTCCTCAAATAAATATATCCGATAAATAAAAAATCCCAAAGAATAACTTTTAAATAATCGTAAATTGCTTTCTTTGACAATTCTACAAGCTTCCCTTGTTGGCAATTCGTTCTGCAATCTTGGAGACGAAGAAAAGTCCGATTTGCGCCGGGATCTTAGAAGCATAGAAATTGATACTACCCAGCGACAAGGCGAGTAAGGGAAAACTTTGCCGTGATGACCCTTTGGTATTTGGTGCCGGAAACCCAATCGGGAGACGCAAATTTTGTTTCATTGGCTCCATGAATTTACAAAGGTCGTATCATAATTAAATGAATTTCGCGGGCTGTCATTCGAGAGTTTTCTTCCTCCCATCCGCTGTGAATTGTGGGATTTGTGGGACTTGCTGATTGTTGGCCTCCGCATCCTCTAAAGAGTTAGCTATTTTCCTGCCGCCTTTTTGCGGGCCCCCATTTTGCAATTGAGTGCTAATTGCAAAATGATCGCTCGTCATTTTTCAGCAACGTCGGATGACAGCCGGCCATAATCGCACGGCTCCATGTGACTCGGATGAGCGGGTCTTGGGCAGTAAAATGATTCTCATTCAAAGAAGTGAACCATAGGATTTTGTTGAGGATTTTTCGTCAGTTCGACGCGTTGCACGACCGAGGACTGCCGTTTTATCAGTTGACTTCCTCTCTGGTAGTTAAAAAGAAAAACGGCTTGGAGCATTTTAATGCCAAATATCACAGTAACAAGTGGAAAAAAAAAAAGTTGTCAAGGGGGGAAATTGCAGTATAGCTGAAATCATAGCGGAAAATTTGACTTTCCTAGACAACTTTTCCTCCCCACCCCAATAATTTTTTTCCAAGTTCACTCACGAACTTCAAAATTGCTGCATTTCCTTGCTACCTCGAAATCTCAAAGATAATCAGTTTTCATCCGAAACGTTCTCAGATGTGGAAAGGTGTGGATGGAGATGTTCTGCCATAACAGGAACAGCAATCTCGTCACCCCTGAGGCGAAAATCTAATGAGCACACGACAAGGAATGCGAATGCTAGTGCTTGTCCCGAGAGTGTGCCTTGTGTGCGTTTTAAACTAGTGGGTGTTCTTAAAGCATTGATCGGTAAACGATCGGATTCACATTATATGATTCTGTGATTGCTATTCCAATATAGACCATGTATCGCTTTATTCAAATCTCTGGCGGCAATCCAGCATAATATGCCAAACCGATTGAGAAAATATGGACTCCCTTGCTCTAAGGTTCAGGGATTTGATGACGATCCAAAGCAAATTTTTTTCCCGAAAAGCTTTTCGTAACCCTGTAATAATTTTTTTTTGCTACAGGTCGCGATTTTGTGGAGTTATCATGATGCTTTCCACGAATACAGTATCAGAGAGATCTGCAGTTCTTCGATAGGAAAACATTTATTCTGGTAACTCTTATTCGGTAACTGAACACGATATTTAAACGAAAACACTTCATTGAAAACAAGAAGAAAAAAATCAATGTGTCCGATCGGATCAGCATCACATGAGAGTGTCTGTCCATCATCACAGACTAGAAGGACGAGAAGCCCCAAAGAGAGACGTGCAGGACGTGATGAAACTTCTTGTACGAACTCGCGCTGGAAGACACGGAATCTCGCCGGGTGGGGATTCGAGTCAGGGGTCGTTCGAGGAGTCTTGGGAATTCATGAGACTCTTGATGGTCTCGTAGGCCTGGCCCACGAGGAGCTGGAGGGACGACAATCGACCAGAAGCGTCCGAGAAATGTCTCACACCGTTGGGCACATCTTCTACAGGCGGGGAGCGATGGAGGCTTCCCTGCTCGTTGTAATCGATGGGACTGAAGGGACGAGGCACGTCGAACGATGCTCCGTCGAATGAGGACGAACCCAGGCTGTTTGGGTATGTGATACTGTTTCAAGGGAAAATAAATTCATAGTTATTTATATTTTCTCATTGGCCTTTGAGTTATTTTCACAGATTGTGACTTAATGTCACGAAGGGAATTATAAGGATGAAATAAACCCAGTTTAAGTGCCCACAGTATCCCACAATAAAGCCGAATGTCTTTAATAATAAATTCATTCGATTTGATGCTTTATTATGGTTTGCATTATGGTCACAGATTCGGCACAGAACAGAGTAAATGGTGGCAGGAGACTTTCGTCGCCACACAATATTTCATGAGTCAAAATAATCGATGATACATTATTAGATCATAAATACTTGGTCCACTCTAACGGCATTTGTCCTGAAACTTGAAGTTCGCTGAGCTACCTCTAAATATCAACCGATTGGACTGAAAATTGTCACACAAATTTATTCTGGGATATGTACAGGAATGGAAGCCTAAGACTGACATTTAAATAAAGAAATTTTTTGGACCACCCTAATGTTGCCGGATTGCTCTTACCACCCTTCATAATGATGAGAGCAACATTTTTCCTAGAAACGTACACATTTATGGTGTTATCCTCGAAAATCATCTTTATCACTTTCCGCCCAGGCGATTTGAAAGCAAATTGAACCGTCGTGTGACGGGTATGGGGCGGAAAGAGTGAAAGACACTGTTACCTCCTGTTACCACCCAAATATTTTCATTACTTTAACTTGATTTTCACATGCGAATACTCAACTTTTCCGGCATATTGGCCTTGCGTGACTGTAACCACATAGAGAAGAAAGAAGAAAAGGACCGGTAATGTACGGGAAGGATAGTTAGAATGGTTCGATATTTCGCGATAAGATGGTCCTTGAATGGAATTCGGCAAGAATTACTTTCTTGTCCCGGAGTAGTGTTCGCACGAATTTATCCGTTTCACCTTGTCTCTGCAGGTGCAGAAGGTCTTTCCCCACCCTTCACATAATATTTTAGAACTGATTCCCGCCTTTTAAAAAAGTACTGCAAGAATTTAATGCCAAATGACTAAATGCCCAATGATTAAAGCTTGCCCTTCGTTTGTCTCAGTTCCAGATCGAACCAACAACGGAAGCAAAAAAAAAAGTTGAGAAACGAAAAATAGAAGTCATTCCTCGGAAGAGATCTGGCAGAAGACAGTGAAGTTGAGATGGAGTCGGCGGTATGAGGTACCTACCTGTCCACGATGGTGGACTCGTCGATCTCGAAGGTCTCGGGATGAGTCCGGAGAGATTCCAGAGAGAAGGACGGGGAAGTTGCTGGATCAGAGGCAGGAGAGGGGAAAAATGGTGGACGGGGAGCCTCCTTCCACGCCCTCAAATTCACTGACAGGATATCCCGGCCCTTGCATGATAAGTGCGGGTTCCTATATTGTCCCAAAGACAGAGAGAAAGTAGGAGATTAGAAAATCGTGACGTGGAAAGGGAAATGAATCACCCGAGTGAAAAGATACGAACACCATGCGAGAATAGTGATTTTAAAAAAAGGTTTAAAACATTTATAGGCAACATCGAGCGGATACCTGACGCTATCGTGAGTGAGGAACATATGCGGCTGGACGGTCTCGATGTCGTCCAGGTTGTCGCAGATCACTCTGGCCATGGTAACCTTCCGGATCTCTTGCAGCTGAGCCGGCTTGAAAGAACTCCGGAATCCTCCCGTCTCGTACCAGAACCGATCCCCTGTTTTCGCATATGATACCATTGTTTCATCTTCATACGCTCTCAAAGTTAGATATGGGGGCCGCAGATCTTAAAGTTTACGGTCAGGAACAGGTCAAGTTTCCTATTTCTGGCTCAGTGCTTCCCCTTTTCAAGTGATTGACTGAATTTCAATATCGGTAATATTGTTACTCTTTTTTTTCTCTTTTGAGGCTCTAAGGATGGCGATGGATCCAGATGACAGCGTTAAAGATTAGGTATCGAACAGTGATCCTACCCTATATCGGCGTCGAGAGTATTTAAGGTAACGCAGATCCTCCTCATCTCAGAGGTTTCTCCCATGTGGCTAAATCCTAATCATTGAAGAGAATTTACCTAGCCAATCCGATGAACGGATTGAGTCAGAAATCCACATCACTGGGGAAGTTCTTAATGTCCCTATCTCTGGAATTGCCCACGGATGTGAAAACTACGAGCCATCAAGAAGCCCACGTTATGAAAATGCATGCAAAGACCGTGTCCAGAAGCGTCATTTTTCATCTTTGGAGTTTCTGAACGTTTGCCTAAAGAAACACGAAACAAAAAGGGATCCTGTTCAACTCGTGCATAGCGGAAACTGCCTGATTCTATGCTCTAAATTGTGAGTCAGAGTAGTGAGAAGGGACCATTTGCTTTACTCAGAACGTGCTAAATTATAATCATCTCTTCCTTCCCCGGAAATTGTTTATTTGTCCAGCTCAGAGGTTTGATTCTTCTCGGTCTCCGATCTTCTAGTCTGCTTCACTCGCGCGCAGGTCCATCACCAAATGACAGCCTTCTCTCTCGTGATGAAGTTAGCGGTGCGGACGAATCATTTTTCGCGAGAGACCATGTTACTGAACACTGCTGCTAGTTCACAATAGCTGCATTCTAAATTTTCCTCTCGCCCTCACGTGTACCGAATGCCCTCACATCATGTCGGCTCGAGCAAGTCAGAAATACTTGCATTCGATATACCACAAGACCTAACGCTCATCCTTCCAGAGTTGGGCCTACACACGCCAGCTCCAAAATTGGAAAAGCGAATTTTCGCTACGGTTTGACCACAGGGCAGGAGGATGACGTCAGCTTGCTCTTTGCTGCCGCTCCAGGGAAGCTGATAACGCTAACTACCTAGTACTTGTGCGAATTCCAGACTGGGTGGTCTCATTGAAATTTGTTTCTGATTGTAGTAAGAGCTTCATCGACTGATGTAATCATGAGTAGCTTCGCAGGGCAGGAAGGAAATAGATGCGAACATGAACGGACGTGAAGATATCTGAGTGCATGGCTATCAAGAGTGATGCAAGGAAGTTCTTGGTCTACGATCGGAGTATGCCTAAATTATGTCTGAATGTCCCGGAGATTTGTCAGGAGGAGAATTACTCAATGCTCCATGATTTTCATCAGGCATTCGTTTCATACCTTGTATGTGGTCGCCCATATTTTATAATTTTTTATTACGGATAACTAGAGTATGAAAAGATGGAGAAGTAGCGAAAGCAGACCTCGTCGAAGGTTCATGAACTGCTGGGCGATGATGCAGGTGAAGGTGGGTCCCACCAATCCTCCTACGATCGGCCTCTCGGACAGCCCAGCCGTGAACAGATCGATGTCCTCCACGTCCCTTCACATCATCCAAACACGAACGTCATGAGATGCGAAGTAGGCATACCGACTTAACATGCACGCGATCGACCATCGGACAAGGACGGTTGAACGCACTCGTAGATCATGCGAAGCCTGCCGACGGTGTCATCGTGCATGAGGTCCAAGAGATCGGAAAAGGTGCGTGCCCTGCGGAGGGAGCACCTCTCCCGCCACTCGTTAAAGGGGGGAAGTCCGTGGTCTCGACCCCGCCATAAGTTCAACGATATCAGATCCATCCCAAACTGTGACTCTGCGGAGACACACGTCAAATATGACATGGCTATTAATCGTAGCAGAGATGGACCAGTTTTCATACGATTTCTCAATGTGATTATGATCTAACATATGCAAGCAGACAGGAATCAATATTCGATAATGACTTGAATGTCAATGTCAATGAGTGAACGAGATTTGATCCGACTGATTTTGTCTGATAAAGGCCTACAAAACGTACCATGCAAAATAATTTGTTTCCATCGAACGTGATTTTATTTGATCTAGAATAACATAATTGGGTTCGATTAGGGCGTTTCTATTGTACGTGTACGTGACTACTTGCGATTACTTCCCCCCCCCCCCCCCCCCCCCCCCCCCCCCATCCCCCCCCCCCCCCCCCCCCCCCCCATTCTCCGCCAATGTTGCATACCTGGGGTTTGGAAAAGATGATTGGTGAGCTGCTCTGTCACGAACTCGTCTCGGGATTGAGAGCGCTGGGCGGCAAGGCCAAGGACGATTCGGTCGATGGAGCCCATGTTGTGCAGTGGGGTCGGATTCATCATCTCTTGATGCAATGGGATTTCTGCATTCCACAAAAAAGGAAAACCATAAAAAATTTCTCATGGCGATACATTTGCAGGCAAGGAACAGCAGTGCCTTACCTGCGATTCCTGCGTGTGTGCCCAAAAATCAAGAAAAATGGACGTAGACGGGCATGCAATGACATGCATACTCTTTGATAGCCTGTAATGTACTGCACATCTCAAAGTTCCCTCAAAGTGATGTAGGAATCTCCACAAGTTCATGACAACTCTGATAATGAATTTTTGTAATGATACCGTTTTTATGACATTCACAATCTTACTCATTATTTCCCGTTTTTATCTACTGTTTACATTTGCATGTGTTGTAGAATGGAATTAATTTTCTATATTTAATCTTCTTTCAACTATAGGTATTTGCTTATAGCTGCTTTGGCGTTTTATTAAGTATTTAATTTTTTTCATTTCTGAGCGACGCTTAATAAATGAAAGGACAGGAGAAAGAAAAGATGAGTTGAGGTATTACGGATGGGGACGATGCGATGATTTTTGTCGCATCTCTCGATCTGGTCCTGGACGAGGGAATGGCCGAATCGGAAGGCAGCAGTGGCCAAGGCATTCGCGATGGTCGGGTTCACCGTTACGTTGTACCCGTTGTAATATCCCGTCTTCAGCGGTCTCAGCTCGAACAGGTCCATCACTCTTTCCCCTGTGCATACGGTTCATCGCATCAGCACCTCGATCGAAGCCGCCATTCTCCCAACCATGCACAAATATTTTATTCATCCTCTGTGGATAATATCCTTCGCGTCCCCTTTATTTTACGAGGCAACTGACCGACGACGAGAGGAAGCCATTCGTTGTAGGTGATGTGCTGCATCTCGGCGCCGACGATCTTCCTTGCCTCTTGATACAGTCTATCGTCGTCCCAGTGAGGGTTGACATCCGACAGACCAGCCGCTACCCGGTTGTGTTCCCTCATCCAAATCGTGTGCATGCTCCCCAGGCCTGGCAATCGAAACTCATTAGAGTCATGACATGCCATGCATCTTGATTACACTCTCATCAGGCCTTGACAGTAATAAGGATACCCAGGAGTGGTTCATGCTGAGACCTTATTCTACTTTCTTATCTATCGCTCTTCGTTTCGCTTCCTTCTTTATCTATCTTTCCCTTTTATTTCTTTCACTGACCCGGTTGCTCGTTGACCCTGGAGTCTCCTGCGAGGAAGCAGTGAAGATTTGGCGTATTTTCTCGGCACTCCATCGTACTCAGATCCTCCAGCGGTGGGAGTAGCGGTTTCCTGTGTCTCAATGGGGTGTACCTGAGCATACCTGTGGGAAAAAAAGAAAGAAATATGGACGCTTCTGCTAGATGCCTGCTGTGTGTTGTTGTCGATGACGGACAGACCGTCTTTGAATAGACGTAGCTGATCCTCTTGTTCCTTGGTGGAGCCGTAGACCTGGGAGCCGTCCAGGTAGGAAGTGACCTGGTTGGTCTGCTCCCTGGGACCCAGGGGACAATCGATTCTGGGCGAAGGGCTCGATCTCACGAATTCCAGGCATGTCACCCCGAACTGAGCGAAGTGGGAGTCGTTGGCAGGTACCTTCATCGGGTAACAGTCCGGATGCTGTCTCCGTTGAGAAGGGAAACAAGAAATTAAATTAAATGAAAAGCATTGAAGAAAAAAAAATTCGCCAGAAAAGCAGAAAGTTATTTAAGCATTCGTTGGATTGATAAGAAATACTTATTAAAAGCAAAAGCGTATAAATAACATTTAAAAAAAATATGTAACTGAAGTCGATCGCTAATCAGAACGAACGCAGAGAAATTCAGGCATGAAGGAAAATTCTACAGAAGCAACCAATTCTTAAATACCCTGGAGTTGGGTTCGATTGCCTGCCGTCCACCTCTTTGACAGCACTTGGGAATGGATGCTTGGAAGCCGCGCGACTGGGGCGTGAAGGTGAGGTCGTGGTCCAAGAACTGGCCCCATTGCATGAGCATGAGGGAAATGGAGTTGGAGGGACGGTCCCTCTTCCGGTGCACGAGGGAGCTCACCATCCGGGGGACTGGCAGGTCCTCGCCAGTCCTGGATTTCCGGTACGTCTCAAGGCCTGTATTGTGGAAGGAAATTAAGATAAATCGGCTTAGACTTAATATGATCTAGGGTAAGCACCCCAGTTTCTGGCCGGTCTCCAGTTGTTGGCCAGTGAAGTTTAAATCCAGAATAATAGTTAATCTGGCCGTTTTTAAGCATTCTATCAACATCTTCTCGTACGAGACCTATTACTAGTGTACTATTACTAGTGTACACCGAGAAGGTGTGCGCACTGCGTGTCCACTTCCTATGGGAGTCGTATCAGATTTATCAAAAACTGGGGCTTGGAGTGGCCAAAAACTGGGGTGTTTACCCTATGCTTGCAAAGTCACAAATGGAAATTGTCCGAATAAAACAGCATCAGGGTGTCGCGAAAACTAGACGTCCTGAGGAAACCTCCGATGTCTTACGGCCCATGGCGTGTTATCAAACTCAGAATTCTGCATTGGAAAAGTACTGTATAACCCGCCGACGGTCGGTGTTTTTCTTATGATTTTCCAGACAACTCTACAGTGATCTATTCGCTCCAGACTGCCATGACGACCCCCCCAGATGGCTATATGAAGCTAGGTTATAATACGGACGACTGCCAGGCATAATGCAGGATCAGTGGACGCTGGTAAGTTCCATTGAATGAGGTCCTTGTCCATTTTCGTTTCTCACAGCAATCACCTTGATAATGTGAATGTCATACATCTCATTCCGTTATGTGCTTATTCATCTGCTTCGTCATTATTCTGAGCAAAAGATATTGCTAAACATAATTCAAAGAAGCTCCGGGTTCTAAGTTTAACTTGCTCCTACTCTTCACCTCTTCCTTCACTCTGGCGTCAAGATCATCGTTTTTTTTTTCCTAAGTAGGATCTTCCATGGAAAATCATGAACTGTTGCGTGCATTGTTTTAAGTCGAAAGCATCGGTCCGTCCTGCACATTCAGAGGGATATGGACTTGCACCTCTCGAAAAATGTTAGCGAGATGGAATTTCCCATCCTCCAATGCATTTCCATGCAGGATACTATTTTTGAATTTAGATTGAAGAAGTACCAAGACCAAGTAAGCGCGCATAACAGCCTGAAAAGAGCTCTCTGTTTCCTTCATCGACCCTCATTTTCGTAGTAACCCCGAGAAGTTTAAGAATCGAAAGAATCTTCATGCGACTGACGGACGAGTCATAAGAAAGAGGCAAAAAAAAAATCAGGACTCTCCGGTTGTGCATACCATCGTCGTAGACAGGCGGGAGGAATCGGAGGAAAGGCCGGAAGGAGGCGCCCCAATTAAGGTGAAGGGGGTTATTGCAGGTGCCGTCGGGCATTCGATAGACTGCAGAGGACGGAGGGCATTTGGAATGGGTGCTCTCCTCATCCCGAACTGGGCATTCCTGGAATAACCTCGTCTCCCGGATGGGGATGTTCCCCATCTCGATCCCTGCCTGCCGACGGTTCAGCTTCAACCTGGCACGACCACAAATGCATGATCAAATCATCGTACATGAATCTGCTTCCAGTTACCAGGAATCCCTGGATCTGTAGAATCCCTCAGCGGCGCAGGAAAGTTAGACAATTTACATGGTCATCTACTGCAGCATTTGCACACGAAATTTAACAGTTTTTCTGGTGTCTCAAAAAAAATACACTGATCATACTCGTATTTTCGTGTATGCTCTAGTTTGTTCAATGATACTGATATTAACAGCTAAAACGTATGTTACTGAGACTTGTATGGAATGAGGATTAGCCCAATGAACTTCTCGGGAGACTTGGAGAGAAGAAGTATGCGAAAAGAAAGGGCTCCTCTAACAGTGACAAAGATTCAGCCATGGGCCTTGCACGACTCATTAGGTTAGGTTTAAGTAATCCCCTTAGTTGGTATTTTATTTGCTCTTTGTGGGGGACAAATATACAAAGCAAGAATGATTGGCGATCGAAGCGGTTCTCGTTTGGGAATGTTCCCTGTTTGAACAAATTTAAATTACTTGCGCTGATCTTTGAAGATTCTCCGCGACGTATGCTTGATCTTGACGTCTGACATCATCATCTAAGACGAGTATTAGATTGGACGTTAGGCCCACAAGGAGAATTTACCTTCCCTGGATTTACGTATCTGAAATTTATGGTCGAAAGCGTGGTGTTCGCGCAACAAGAACTTCTCGGGAGATCTAGCTGAAAACCGATTTCGCGCCACAGGAGGACTTACAGAACGAGGACAGGAATCCCACGAGTCATTCGCGAATTTTCCAATAAGTCCAGCCAAAACGGCTGGCATTTTCATGTGCCTGAGAACGCGTTGTGGCGAGGAATGAGTATTGCGTGAAGTACCCTTCTTCTTACCAAAAAACCACGTCTTTTAACATTGATAATTCCCGAACGACGAATAACGATGAATATTCCCTTGGCTGCTTGCAACCGGCTGTGCCCTTCATCTGCACCGTCTAACCCATGGGTCAAGTCAAAACCCTTGGAATCCGACCCATAGATCCACTGAATCCATTCAACTCGTGGAAAGTTACTACCATCCTTTTCAGAACTCATATGGATCAAAATAACATAAGATTCCAGCATGAGGGCCTGATTTCGCGTCCGGGACGCGAATTCTGACTCGAATTATGTGGTACTCGTAATGGTACTTTCCCGTAAAAATGACAAAACCGCGGAAGTAGTCTTCGCCGATTTGGAATCAAGCGAGAAAAGTACATCGAAGAGGAAAGAGGAGAGGAAGTCTCCAGAAGGTAGGCACGATGAAAACTTGCTCCGGCTCAATGGAGCGGGACAGGAATATCTATTTTCTTGTTCTTCCGTCCCTAAAGGCCATCGATTGGGACGGTTTCAAGAAAAACAGGTCTGGAGGTCGCATTATATTCAGCGAGATGTTTTCAAGTGGATGAGTCACGGTTCTAGTTTCTCGCTTCATGTTCTCGTCCAATTAAAAAAATTGACATCGACTTAATTCAATGTCAGCTCAGAACTTGAGAAGTAGGGCAGTTTTGTTCGAGGTAGCAGGATCTTGTCTCTTGCAGGATCTTCCAGACTTCATCTCGAACGAGACGAAAACTGAGAGAAGAATTCTGAGGGAAGTTGCAAAGTGTTTCTCTTCAAGATTGTAAAACAATTAAAATTGGAGCTGTTGCAATGTAACGGAAGCAAAAAAAAAAGATTTGTAACTTTCCGAAGTTAGCGAGTTTCCAAAGCGAGATATTAATTTCAGTTATTTTTTCTTCTCTCCACTGCCATCAGTGAATGCCATTTCATATTCTTGCTCAGTCGCAGCTGATCTCAAGATGGTGTCAAAACACTTGAGTTTTCCCGCCTTCTCTTGGGTGACTTCGAATGAGCTGCGAGTGCGAGGACACATGTAGCAGATGAAAAATCACTTGACCGAGTGCATACTTGCAGAGAGACTTGAACTACAGGACTACTTGAACAAGCTCATGGTTCCTCTGCTACAGGATAGCTCAAGTATTCAGGAAACAGAGGAATTCCCACAAGTCCATGTACGATGGCTGATGCGATCCATGCATTGTTGCAGTCATGTTGTCATCGCGGACCAACGTATTACGATTACTCAATTCAATTCCTCTGTGTTTTCATTAAAATCCAAGATAGGGAAGAATTCAGCTTTTTGTCATTTGAAAACTTCGCTATTCCACGATGCCACTTGGTCGTGGAATTCAGCAGAGAAATAATGGAGAAAAATGAGCTCATGAGCTCACTCGTGCATGCATGAGCTCATGGAAGCTAATAACCTTGAGGAAAATGAAGAAGTTATGGTTATGAGCAATTAGGGTGGATGCTCGGGGCAGGGGGGAGAGGGTGGGGGGGGGGGGGGGGAGAGGGGGGNGGGGGGGGGGGGGGGGGGGGGGGGGGGGGGGGGGGGGGGGGGGGGGGGGGGGGGGGGGGGGGGGGGGGGGCGGAGGGTGGGAGGGGGGGGGAGACTCACTGGTCCATGAGGCGGTGAGATGCATGAAGGGTAGCATATCCGTACTTGGCCAGGACTTTCGCTTCGGGCCATTGCTTGTTGAAGGCGCCTATGTATACTCCAGCGCTGTCCCTGTCCAGAGATAATCCTGCAACGGGAAAACGAATGGAAATTGAAAATTCCGAAACGAACTCCCGTCATTTAACGATCCGCTCGGGAAACGGTGCATTCGGACCATCTCGAGAATCGTGCGTTTTTCTCCCGGCTCTTAACGGGATCGTGATTGGAAAGTGAGAGTGGAGTACTGGAACGCGACCGACTGCCGTTTACTTCTCGTTCGTCGTGCATTCAGGGATTACTGGAACGATGGTTCCGGAGTAGTGACCAATTGGGGCGACAATTCATTGTAATATCTATATCTGCACGATGTTTCCGTTCCCTTTCCCCGTTTTAGGGTCGATACTCCTAAGCTGTTTCTGCAAATGTGACACGATTGGAAGCAGCAAAAGGGATTCAACGGATGAGACGAGAAAGTCACAGAAATCGCGAGTGTACAAATAATCTTTAAAAAATTACAACACAAGACGTTTCCAGACATGGGGAAGCAACCTACAGTACATCAATTTGGATTCTCGAATGAATTATGTTGTAAAGGTTTTCTGCAATCCATCGCATTGCAAGATTAATCTTCACGAGGCACCAGATTTGTCAAAGGTTTCCAGCACGCATAGATAGACATTCAAAGCTAGTTATTATGCAGTATTATTATTCCGCCTTTGCCTTCTGGTAGGATTAGGTTCATGGAGCCGATTCCTCCATTTCTCCATGACGTTTTCCTAAGAAAAACTATTTCCATCAGCGATGATTCTATTGAACTGTTAAATCCAAGTTGCCTAGCTAAACACGCTTTCTTATTCTAGGACGAAACCACACCTGCTGCGCTAGTTAAAGTCGTTTCGGTGCCACAGAGAAAGTACTCTCCAGTACAGGGAGCACTTGGAGAGTCGTACTTAGGAACCCGAAAAGGTACACCTCCAGGGTAAACCGAGTCCATCGATACCTCATTTGTCGAAATCAGTTCAGTTGTGGATTCTTGTCTAATCGCAAGACGATTCCCAAGGCCGATAAGTCATTCACCTCTGTTCACTAAGCCCTTACCCATCGCTATGCGAACCAAGGCAAGGTCAGGGAAACTAACTCGAGCTACTGGTTTTGTCGTCTCGCAACACTTTTCCCTTTGGCTAAAGAGAGAAGTCGTCTTTTTATTGGGAGAGCAATATGAGAAGCATACGTGAGGCATCCGTGAAGCATCCACAGTGAGATTTGAGGTCAATCTCACACGCCCACTCGACTAGCTCTAATATCAGCAATTAAATGCAGGATGGTGACTCGCTCGGTCGTAGTAAAACGGTGGTCGTTTTTACGAGTCAGCATCAGAATGAAAGCGGAAAAAAGGCGTCGACCCACATGAGTTCAAACTCCATCGACGATGAATACATAAACGAACAAAAGCCGTTCGTGCAACCTCGTTTCGCAGTTTTTTTTTTTTTTTTTTTTTTTTTTTTTGCTCGACCGCAGAACCTCACTCGTTAAGGAGCTAAATGGGAAAAATGTTGATTTTATTCGTCGCTTCCTCATCCGAGATCCGTGTCGTGTTTTCGGTTCCTTTGTCCGAGGCGATTTCCTGCTCGGGCCGACGAGGAAGTGGCAAAAAAAAAACCAGAGGAAGCGGTCTGGGTGCGACACGAGAAGCGGGACGGGATCCCTGGCGTAAAAAATGAATCCCGTCATTCATGCGATCCTCATCTTCTCGCTCATGGAATCACTAGGTTTGCATTTCTGGGGGGGAGGATGTAAACCGACGGGCTGGGTCCATGTAGGCCTACTTCTACATCATGGATCGGGGATTTTTTGGGTCGTAAAATATCGGCTCTCTTCCTGCTTTCTCGTGTGCATGGATCGCCGCACTTCCACGCCTCTCAGTGCAATAATGGCCGAAGCATCTGGCTTCCGTTCCGGAGTCATTCGAACCGATCATTTTTTACGGAATGGGGACAATTGGATTCTTTCAAATGAAAAATGCATTTAATGGTTTGATTTGAAATGCAATCAGAACTGCTAATTGCAATACGTGCTGACAAAATTTAGCGAAGAAAGGCTGATTTCAAACATTTTCAGTTGCAGTTCAGTTATAGTTTCAGTTCGGACTTCGATCTGACAGGTTCCGCTGTGCTCTTGTCGACTTTTATCACAAAGAAATCCCAACTGGAACTGCAACTGAATTAAAACTGGAACTTAACAGCTGTTAAAAACACACACACACACACAAGAAAATCCTTCTTAAACCTTCTAGAAAATCCTTTTTAAATAGGACGACCTGTTCGTTACACGAAATTGAGGAATTTTACAACATGGGACCTACGTACCTAGTTATTGGTTTTTCCTTCGGCATCTTTCGGCGTTGAGCGAAGAGATGGCGGAGACGGACCCAAAGAGAACCTTGGCAGTGACCTGTACTGGTTTCGGCGGGATCACGCCTCCACCCGCCTTGTTAACCGTGGAATTGCTGCAGTTGGCGTTGTTGTTGTTGTTGGCCGTCCCAGAGTTGAGAGCACCGCCGCGATTATCTGCACATTGAAAGCGGAGCGCCGCGTCCGCCCT